TGCTTTTCTCAAGTGATAAATGCAGAAGTAGCCGATTTGTTTGGAAGCTCAACAATATCATTGAGGAATATAGCATTTTCCATCTCTTTTTTGTACCATCCTCCCGTGTCCATCAGAGGCAACAGTCAGAGTTACCAGCCGATTGCAGGAGCTCCAAGCATCATAGCTTCACACAACAGGATTCAAAAGCAGAAAGGGAATTCCAGGTTCTCTCCACTGGCCCGTCTCCTTCTATCAGTGAAGAAAACATTTCCCAAAATTTTTCTATGTCTTCTTGGTCATACAGGGTCAATTATCCACAAATATAGGTAGGTGCTGGGAGGCTGGGTAACAGTATTTCATATATTCAGTCTCAACTGAGAAAAGAAACAATAGGGTGAGAATGCACACTAGGCAGAAGACCAACAGTATTTGCCACAAAAGAGTATTTACATTTGTTAAATGAAGGCCATGAGAATAGATGGTCAAAAACAGACTATGAGAGGGACATGGGTGATGAGAGTTCCAAGAATGAGAGCCATCATGTCAGAAAGTATGACCTTCTCCAGGTTTTTAAATCTTTAATAAATCTGTGTGCATTTGGAAATTGGGGAGAGTTTTCAGAAGATGATAACAATAATGACACATATAACAAGTTTCTAAGGAAGGTTTTCAGAATGGTCAAAGACCCATGCTAAATTTTAAGGTCTTCTGGGAGAATAGGTAGGTTCTCAAGTACGTCCAAGAAATTGACATCTCCAGGTTTCAATTAGAGGAAGAAATAGAGATAATTTATTCTGCTGTGAACTATATAGGAAAGTTTATTAAAAAATGAAAGTTACAGTGGAAATGGTTAAAATAACCGTATTGAAAAGAAGATGTGGCTAAAAGGGTGGAAAGACAAGCACGAAAGAAAGAAAATAGGATAAGCAACATGAGCAAAAAATCCATTTCCTGCAAGGTTTCTACCCCAGGTCCTGGCAAGAATTCAAGAGAGTGAGAAATCAAGATAAAGGGGAAGTTTATGATTAAACTTAAGCAGCTCTATAAGTTATGGCTCTGGTGTCAAGTAGGCCAACTTTAACCATTTTTCTAACAGGGGGATGTTGAATAGCCTCTAAGGTTAAGTCAGCTGGGCCTCTGACAGTGACAAGAATCTAAGCCTGGCAAACTTCCAGAACTTTCCCATCTTCTTCTCTGCATATTCAGATAATTTGCTCTGTTCTGCTAGGTTATTGATGGATGCAGCCATGCCCCACTTCTCAAGTTTACATGTTATGTTTCCAGCCACCCACCAACGTGCTGACTCAATTCCATGTCCTTGGAGAGGATCTGATTGGTCCTCTTTGGATCAAACAGAGTCTACCAGCCTCAACTAATGCCAACACAAAATGTACCATATTTTGCAGTGTATAATGCATACTCATGCTTTTGACCCAAACTTTCAGTAAAACAAAATCTTCTGTTTTAATTTTTTAGTTCAATTTTTTATTTATTTATATTTAGAAACAACACTGATTATTATATTCCAGGGTGTTATTTTGCATACAGATATTGTTATTGCTTTCTAGAGTTATGCTTTTAACATGAAAGCATACATAAAAGAGTTAAAAATGTTTATAGAGATATAAAATTAATACTACCACATATAATGTGCATCCCTATTTTTCTCTCAAAAATTTTGGCAAAACAGTGCTCATTATACACAGAAAAATACAGGGTAATGTAAGTATGACTTCTAGGAGCTCACTCCTAAAATTGAAAGAAGGGACGGCTTTAAGACAAAAGGGGACTATTACGTGCTCTGTTGACTTCCCAGGTAGTTTTAACAGAGGTGAAACCACAGACACCGGGTGTGGCGTGACTTGAGACAGCTCTGGTCTCGAGGAGTCTCTGATGATCATGGAGTCAGCAGTGGGACTGAGGCTATTGTGTCCTCACTTTGGATATCATATTTCATTCAGTTGCGCAGGCAAGCGACCTGGCAGGAGAAGTGGAACATGGAAAGTTAAGTCCAACTCCCAGGAATTCGTCCCCTGTGTTATGTAAAAGAGGTGTTTGGGTAAGAGAGGTAGGGAAGAGGTTGGAGAGAAGGAACAACCACACAAACATCAATGGTGACACTGACTCCTTCACCAATGAAGACCTCTGGCTGGACAGTCCTGCTACTGCAGAAAAAGAGCATGTGGATGAGATGTCACTGAAGAATTGCAAAACATGCTAATGGCAGAAAATGATGTTTGGAAAGTGGCCAATACCTGACACCATAGTTTTAAAGACATCTTTCAGAAAATACCATAGGAAAGCATGTCTTTAAATTTACCAATAATTAAATAGCCCTGGCTGGTGTGGCTCACTGGACTGAGCACCGGTCTGTGAACTGAAAGTTTGCTGGTTCGATTCTCAGTCAGGGCACATGCCTGGGTTTTGTGCCAGGTCCTCTTGCACATTAATGTTTCTCTCCCTCTCTTCTTCCCTCCCTTTCCTTCTCTCTGAAAATAAATAAATTTAATTAAAAAAATAAATACATAGGAAGAAGTTATCTAGGTCTGGCAAGATAGCATCAAACTGTGGAAAGAACCCTGGGCTTGAAGTGAAAATGCTGTATTTGGAACTTACTGCACACTCTGAGTGAACATTTATTTTTTAAAATAAATAAGGAAGGTAATGGCAAAGAGATTAAGATCTTTATGACTTATGACTGCACATGGTTATGAGGATCAATTGAATTGGCGTAATAGCAGGCGGGAAACAGTTGAACTCAATGCAAATGTTAATAATGACCCCAGAATTGGAGGATCCGCATAGTAGATGGAAGGTAAAGACTCTCCCTTTAGTTAATTGTCACTCCTGTAGCAACTGAATGCCTTGGGGGCTGGAGGAATGCATGGTGAGTACTGAAAGCGCACAGCCAGTCTGGTTCAAGGCAGATATCAGCTTCAAAAGTCTCCTTTGCAAGAAGTATATTTCTTGCTCATCAAGCACACCTCTGCAGGATTTTTGAAGGCCAAGTAGAAAAACTTGCCAACTTGAATGATATAGATGGGATGCACTGGTTCAAAAGTATAAGGGCTTCACAGAACAGTCTGTGGGTTTGGGTAGAGAGAATTCTGCCCCAAGGAGTAGAACCTGTGGGGATGGAGAGGGCTTGAGGGGAGAGGTAGAAAAGTCCTTACTCAACATCCCAGACCCGTTGTGCTCGGAAGCCTGTGGGTGGGGGAAATGTCCTAGAAATAAATGCTTGGGGATTTTTTTGTTTGGGCATACATCTGTTTGATCTAGAGGTCAGCAGAGCCACAACAGGAACATCTAAACACAAACAGCTTGCAGTCTGCAAGAAAGAGCCTCGCATAGGAAAATCCGTTTGCTAGCCTCAGCTCTGCCAAGAGCTAGGTGGGTTTCTTCAGGCAAGCCTCTTGAGCCCTCGAAAGATCAAGCCACCCACATTTCTTAAGTTTTCATTTTATGCTTATAGTCAAGAGTCTCAGTATTGTCACTTAAGAATTGGGGCAGATAGACCTTGAACTGCCCATGACAACAGAGCAGGCTGTGATTCTCTGACTAGTCTACTAGCCAGAAATATGGTCCTCTAAGAGCCTTCATCTCAAGCACACACTCGGGGCCATGGAACTCTACTGACAAGCTCCTCGGGACTCTCCTACCCCTCCCCCACACCTTAGAGCAGCCTGCTACCCCACACAGTGGGGCAGAGTGCCAGACACTATACACATCAAGATGGTCGGTGGGTGATCTAATCACCAGGCAGGGATGGGCCCATAAGTATAATCTTGCCTTGTTTATTTTAAAAGAGGAAAGAGGCAGGAAGGATTAAAGCCGGAGGATAACTGGGGAAGAAAGAACATTATGTTTAGAATAAATGCTTAAAAATCCACCATATGCCAAAAGGGGAATCCCACTCTTTTTGCATAAACCTAGTTCCTCTTTTACATATTTGGGACAACGGTATAATTAGCCGAGGACACTGAGCAAGCTCAAGGCTTTTGGAAGTCCCCTCTGGACCCCATTTCAAAAAGAGGCTCTTAATTTGGTTCAAAGTCCTGACCATAAATGTGCTGAATCAGCCCCTGGATGCCTTCTGTCTGCCAGCAGCGATGGGACTCTTGGAGGTACCCATTAGCAGGAAGCCTAATTCACTTTCTGGTAAGAAAAAGAGGGAATGACCCTAAATTTTGGATTGTACAGGCATGCTCAGATGATGGTATCTCAGCTGCTGATCGTACAGTTGAACTTCTTCCTCAATTATTGCCACCTCTTTGACAATCATGGATATACATCCTCATTTTTTAAAAGAAAGTTATAAACACAAAAAGGGAGACTCAATGAGTCAGACCAAATACTCATAAAATAAACCTTGTCTGAATCACCATCTAAACATTCAAAATTACATTAACATAACATAACCTATGTTCCTACCCTGTAGCAACACTCAAGATATTGCTCATATTCCCAAAGGCTTATGAAGAACAACAAAGAATTGATGTGCTTCCCATCTGTTGAGAAGTTAGAATTCACTTCAGAGTATGAAAATCTGTGAAAAGAAATCGATTGGTTGCACCACACCAACCTGGAAAGGACCCTAGTGAACCCATATAAACATGATGGTTTATATAAACATCCGAATAAGTCAGGGCTCCTCTGGGAGCAAATGTATTTCCCTAATACAAGGGCCAAAGCCATTGTCCTACCTAAATTAAAAAGGTAGTATCATCTGAGGCAACAAACCCAACTCCCAAATTAACTAGGGGATACACGACCCCAGAATATTAAACTATGAAAAAGGTAGCAAGAGATCACGGTTTCCTACTGGGACAGCTGATGCCACACTTTTGCTCCTGTATTTTTAACTGTTTTTTGTTATGCACAATAAGGAGTTTCCTTGTGGTCTGCCCTAGGAATGCCGGTCTGTACAAGCCATCTCCATGGATGACTGCTGGCAGGCCTCCCTGGTGACCATCCAACCAGTTTGCCCATTATGATCATTATGCTCACCTTGTTCAGAAGATTAAGTGTGGCCACTCGGCCTCTGCTCTTCTGAGATCCTATCACCCCCCTTCCTTCCAGTGAGCCCAGTTCCATAAAAGCAGGGCTTCCGGTCAGTTCCAGCTCATAGAGGGTAACTTGTTATCAATGCTGTTGTCTTCTTACCGATGCATTTATTATCTCATTAAACAGTGTCCTTAATACTCTGCTGAGGAACACTATTAGCTCTTACAGAGTAGATCATGGTTGTCTTATGCAGTAGATCCATTTTAGCATGATCCCTTCCTCAATAGTCAGTCTTTCTAGGCAGTTCTGGCATCTCTACCTCATCTAATGTGGGCCATTGCTTTTTCTAGGCTTCCAAAAGCATTCCCAGCTCTATCACTCAAGGCCCTTTCCAGGGCATTAAGTCTTATGCCAAGGGTGAGTGCCTTCATTTTGGCAAACTACCCTTTATCCTGATGTATATTCCTCCTCCGGTGAACTCGGCAACCTCGGAGTCCATTACCATGTATGCTGCCCTGGTCTCTGCCTGCGTCTTAGCTGGGCCCTTATGCTCCTTTGACATCTCTCACCCACCTCATCAGGCCTACCACTTTTTCAGAAGGTTTCTGCTGAAATTTGACCCTTGTTATAGGTCTGGTGGGCGGGAGATTAGGTGCAGGTAGTTGCTGAGGAGGGCAAATATTTAATCAGGTGTGCATCTCATTCCAGCCTTCTGTGTAGGCTTGAAGGAAGGGAGTGGGTTCTATCTTCCAACAAGGATGTGAACTACTTCTACAAGCCCAGAGGGTTCAGAGAGATTATGAGATTCAAGTTTCTCAAGGACCTCTCCCCAGATAGCCCCATTCCCAATCTCAAGGTCTTGTTCCTTCCCTATTAGAGCCAGTGCTTTGGTGTAGGATTCTTGACCAGGCTGGGAATGAAGCTTCTCTGAAGGTCGGCTCCATCAAAATTAACCTCTGTGCTTCAGCTGTAGGTCTGATAATAGAGTGAGGCAATTGAGGCACCTAGAATACAAAATTTAAGGCAATCATCCTCAAGGTCATGCAAGTACTGACCTTGCACCACTACAACCCTGAGTGCAACCACCTAAAATTTTGTGTCCTGGGTACCCTCGCTCTGACCCTGTTCATCTGTCCTCCCTTCAGCTGCAGAATATATGGACCTTTTAAAATGCTGTGAGGGAGGCCATCCAATTAGTACCCTTCTTTAAATCATTGATTAATGTATCTAAGTCTGTCATTTTTTCTCTTTAGTAAGTCAGTGGCACTTAGAAATAATGAGGATTATAGAATGGATGTTTGTTGCTCTCTCCACCATACCTTTCAACTGCCCAAGGCACTGAACCAACTCGAGTTTCCTCTTCCACCTGTACCTCATTTTAATTAGTTTTAGCACTCACATAGTTCCCAGCATGCCAGGGACTATCACTACTTGGCATACTCATTGCCACACAACTAGTGAGCAATCCAACTTCAGAAGTCCACCCCCAGACTCTGCTTCCTTTACCACCTGTCTTAATTTGGGCTCCCTAGAAGCAGACCTAAAACAAGGAGAGCAGATGAAAAAGCTAAGCAAGAATGTGATCTCCCTGAAGTCTCCTGTCATTCTGATCCCACTGGAATTCTGAAGCATAAATTGCACCATAAAACTAATTGTATCTCAAAGCAAGGGGGTTGCCTCTCATGCCCTGAGCTAGTTATCGGCTAAAACCTGGCTCAGGTGAGGAGGTGGGTGGAGTGGGGTGGGTACTGCAGACTCCACAGGTTTCTGTTTGCCCAGAACCTGTTTTTTGGGAAAGGAGCAGATGTGAGCTGTTATCGGCCAACATTCAGAGAACCCGGGAGATGTGAGTAGAGCAACAAGAGCATAAAGAATACCACTATATACATTAAAGACATGATCTGTTTGACCAAAATGGAAGGTTTTTGTTACACCTGGACAGCCAGCTGGTAAGCCAGGGAACTTACTTCAGACCAAGCTTTTCCACTAACTAGTTGGAGGATCACTCTAGCCATTTTGCATCTCAGTTTCCAAATCTGCAAAAAATTTTTTTAAAAAGTACAGCAGACTCAGATGCATTTGCCTATGATTTCCAACCTCACTGCTATGGGAGCAGGATAGATGGGCTGTAGCTCATCGTGGTTCATACAATTTATAGAGCTATCAGGACAATGATAGATTTAGGAACCATGATACTGGTTGGTTATTAAGTATCACTGATACTGTGAAGGAAGAAAATGACAGATTCAGCCCTAATTGGTATAGCTCAGTGGGCTGGGTATCATCCCACAGACTGAAAGGTCATCGGTTCTATTCCCCATCAGGGCACACACCTGGGTTGCAGGCCAGGTCCCCGGTTGGGGGCGTGTGAGAGGCCACTGATCGATGTTTCTCTCGCACACGGATGTTTCCCTTCCTCTTTTTCTCTCTCCCTTCCTCTCTCATTAAAAATAAATACATAAGATCTTTAAATAAAAAATAAAAAGAAAATAAAATAACAGGTTCAGGTCAGCTCATCACCAACCCAGTCACAATCTGAAAGCTAGAGCGTGTCCCTGGCAGCATTTAAAGGGATTGTCTCCTGAGGACTGAGGCCAGACAGTACTGAAAACCAGGCCCAGTACCTGACTGCAGAAAAGTTAAAAAGGAGGCTGAACTCATAGTCCCAGCAGGAATGTCTGGAGGGATGCACTTAACTTTGAATGTCCACACTACCCTGAGCACCCTAGGGATGGCAGAAATGCCCCCTGGGCCTCTTTCATGACAGCCTCCCACTACCCTGGAAAGGTGAAAAGTCTCACCTGAAGCAGATGCCTGGCCAGGTGATATCTGCCCTTCTAAATTCTTTGTCCCGCCTCCTCTAGGCCCACAAAGAGGATTAAGAGCCAGTATAGCCTACGTAAGATAGTACCACCCATGCTTTAGGAGGGGAACAAGCTATTCACCAAAACAGTCTCAGAACCTGGTTAATATGTACTGGCAAGAATGAAGGAAAAATGCCTGAGAATGGATCTGAAGGGTGCTGGAATAGGACCTTCCTGGGAAGAGGGAGAAGGAATGAAGGGTAAAACTGAACGAGGGAAATTTTGTTGATGGGAATGTGTGGGGAACACTCTCCAAGGACTCAGGACCAGCTCCACGAGTCCTGATTCGCTGCTCGGATGGCTCGTAGAAGCTTGAAACTAGTGATGGCCAAATAGAGTCAGGGATGCCAGACTATCTTGACAGAGTATTGATGAGGGGGACAAGAGTTTTAGAGAGGTGGGCATGTTAGTATGGGCTAATAAACGATGGTTATGTGCACCTAACCCAGCTACTGTGCCAGATGTAGTATCTTTGCTAGAATAGATCAACTCTTCTAGTTGGTGTGTGGCACTTGCCATGTGGCTATCGGTCATGGGATGTTGCATGCTTTTGCATTTCTTGCAGGAAAAATTATCGGAGAAGTTCGAATTCACTTGGAATGGACATAATTACGCATTTGTGGTCTTTCCCCATGCTTCTTATCACAACACAATTTGAAGGGTCTTGATTGTCTGGTCGTTCCATAAAACACAGGTGGCAAACACAAGGCCCACGGGCCAAATCTGGCCCTCCACTTTGTTTAATCTGGCCTGGCATTTTGTTTTTACCCGGTGGCAACACTGAGCTCTTGCTTAACTGTTAAGGAGTAGTTACATTTACGCAGTCCTAAAATTATATTCGGCCCTTTGAAGGCAACCACAAGGCTGATGTGGTCCTCAGTGGAAATGAGTTTAACACCCCTGCCATAAAACATCATTCTGCCCCACTAAACTAATAACATCATGTTAATTAGTCTTGAAGAACAGAAATTGGTAAATGCTTGGAATAGCCTGAGACACAAGGACACCAGATAGTGAGCGAGAAGCTCTATAAGGGATCAGGTGCCTACCACATTGGTGACATTTCTAGGGTCCGGAGGTCTGAGACATGCTGAAACACCTTCTCCTCCAACCACCACGAAGATGCTTAGCACTTGGTAGGCCTCTTCGGATTCCCAAGAAGCCACACCAGGGAACAGTACTCTGACCCCTAATGGTAAAGAAAATGGGTGGTAAAGAAAGCTGTTTCATAAAAGCAATCAGAGCAAGAAAAGACTCTGCAGCAAATCCAGGCTACGGCCCTTCATTCTGTTGCCATGGCAGCAAGATTGGCTGTAATTAGGTGAAGGCTAAAAGTACCAGGGAGTCAACCTTCCCAGTAGTTGTCCACCAGTGAAGAATGGGAGTGGATGGATAAATACTCCAGTTTCCTTGCCCCTTAATAGACAATGCAAAGTTATTCCACACAGTTTTTTGAGGGTCTCCAGTAGGATGAGTCCCAGTTGCCCACAGGAGCAACCCACTTGTTAAAGCACCCTTTTTTGGTTTTACTCCCTTTCCTATGTCATCTCCCCTCTCTTTGCTTTCTGGGATCTCCTTCAAAATGAGCTAGAGGATATAAATCCTAATCTCAGGGTCCACTTTCCAGAGAACCTGACCTAAGACAAAGCGTCTTAGTCTGGGATTCAGTGAGGGAGGGGAGATGGAATGAGGGGAAGTGGAGAGGCAGGCAGGAGCTGGGCCATGTTAGGGCCTGCGGTACCTAAAAAACTTACATTTAATTCTAAGGGCTAGGGGAAGTCAAGACATGTTTTGAATAGAGGGATAGCATAAATAATAGTTTCCTAAATTTAAGTCTCTAAAAATGATTTTGCTGGCTGCTTTGAGGAGAACTATCTGAAAGGAACAATAATGGCTAAAGGTAGGACCGTTGTGGAGAGATGAGGGTGCTCAGGTGAGACAGGTGGCAGTGAAGAGGAGGGGTGAGCTGATATCAGATATTCTAGACTTGAACTCTGCAGGACTGGCTGAAGGGTTGGTTATGAGGGCCAAGGGAAGGTGACTATGCTGTTTACTGAAACGGAGAGGATGGGATGGGGGCATGCTTCGAATTTCAGAATAAATATTCCTCCTTTTACCTAATGAGGTCCTGGATCCAAATACTTCTGGATGGATTGAGATGGGTAGGGTGGAAGAAGTCAGGAGACTCTGGCAGAATTTCCCTCATGAGTTGAGGGGGTAAACAGACTAGGGATACATGTATTAACACTTTTGGTTCTGTCATACCCATTTTCTAGATATATTGATAAGGCACTGTGGCCTTCTCCAGGTTCATTTTATTATACAATTAGTTTCTTAAGGACAAAAATAGTCTGTAGCAAGTTGTAAGAATCTTGACTCTTAGCTGAGTTCCAGCACACAGACAACTGGCAGTGCGTATTCCAAAAAGAGAAGAGTAATTCCAAAGTGAGCCACGCTCTCCTCCCGCAGGCAGAGGACCAGCCAGCTTCCTGGACAGCACAGGCTCTCGGAGAGCAGAACAGGTGGCTTGTGTGCCATTAATCCTGCAGGGCAGAGGAACATGGGAGAACCATCCAGACACCATTGCTTTCTAGACAAAACACAGAAGTACTTCAAGCAGCTGCCTCCCCAGAGAGCTCTTTACCACTCACTTTCCACAGGACCCACAGTGTCCTGTTTCCATCCAGGAGAGGAAGTTTCTGTTTAACAGTATTGGCGGGGGGAACTGGCCTCTGCAGCAGTTGTAGGCCAATAATCACTAAAGGCTTATATTAAACTAGAGTAGAAACTCTAGAGGTTTACACTTACAAGTGGTGGACCATACGAGACACTCAGCTTCTAGGAATTTGTATCTAGGCATTCATATGTCTAATTTTCTTTTCTGTAAGTCATGCAAGTGTGAGGATGTTGGGGGAGGGATGGGCTCAAACAGCACATCCCCCAGAGAGCTGGGGCACCTCATGTGGGGTCTTTCCAGATGTGGGGACAGGGTCTTTCAAGATCTGTCCACTGTGTGGTGCAGAATGTTAACACTGAACTGCTGAATGACTAGGAAGAGGCTCAAACACCTCCCCAAGCCAAACATTTGTTCTTACAAAATAGACTCTATGTCCCTATTTTTTAATCCTTAACCAAGGATATGTTTATTGATTTTGAAAGAGAGAAAGAGAAATACTAATGTAAGAAAGAATCATTAATCAGTTTCTTCCATATGCACCCTGACCAGGGATCAAACCTGCAACCTAGGTATGTAGCATCACCAGGGATTGAACCTGTAACATTTTGGTGAATGGGATGACGCTCCAACCAACTGAGGCAACCTGCCAGGGCAACTATATATCCCTATGGAAAGTCAAAGGTTGTTCTAAATGCACCATCAACTGCACGCACTCCTGCCCCCAGAGGAATTAATGTCTCACATCACTCACAGCCCTATCATTTATCATTCACACTCTATTCTTTGCTACTAGAATGAATATTGGAGCTCCCATTTGCTAGAATTAGACCAATCACAAATTAATACACCCATTGGTGACAACCCAAAAATGCAACAGAAACTTAGAATTGCTACTTAACTTTACCTTAGCACAGATGGCACTGCCAGGCATACTGAGGAGCATAGCAGATGCTGTTGATCTCACTCTGTGTGCCCCTGGTCACCCCTAAGCTGGTCTGCAGCTGCAGTGGACAGTCTCCCACCTCAAGCATCTATCTGAGCTTTTCTGCCTGAGGGTTTTCTCTGGTATTAAAGGCACTTGCCTCAAAGTACCAGGGATTGAATGCCCCTAGGAGTCATCCCTGAAACAATGACATATGAACATCAGTAGAGAAAAGCTGCATCCTTGGTAGGACAATCCTGAGACATATTGTCAGTATATGCTCAGAGAGTCTCCAGAGGAACTCAACCTTAGTTGCCCATAGTGGTGTCCTGCTCAACTGCATTGGCTCACTTCCTCTGGTAGGCAATGTGATGTACCACCTTGATCCAGAGTGTGACCAGCAGCTCCAAACGTCACCTCCTTCAGGATCTACCTTATTCCAGAGTTGTCTCACCTGAGGTCATGCCCTTCTTGAGCATCACACATGTGGTGACTGAGATGAAGGTATAGATGTGTGGCCATTTTTATGCCATGCAGGATGATGCCGATGGGCAATACTTGTTCCAGATCTCCCTGCCCGACCAGCCAAGCTTTGTCAAGCCTTCATGACAGTGTGACAGCCCATCCTGCTTCCTCTTCCCTCCTTTCACAGGTGTCAGACCTTCATAATGGTGAAGCCTCTATCTATCTCTGCCTATTCCCATTCCTTTCTCCTTTACACTTTATGGGCACCTCTCCATATCTTCCATGTCTAATTCATCCTGGTTCTGACACTTGGAGGATGTGAACTGACACAGGGAGTTATCTGCCCAAAGCAGAGACATGGTAGATCATCAGGGTGGTGCTTCCTCCTTAGAATCCTGTTTTGCATGGCTCATCTGTAAAATGGTACCAGAAGCAGGACTCTCATGTCTTAAATACAAGATTTTCCATTTAGTTGTTGCACATTTAGTATGATGTTAGCTGAGAGCTTGTCATATATAATCTATATCATGTTCAGATACATTTCCTCTATAACAAGTTGAGAGTTTTTGTAATGAATGAATGTTAAATTTTGGCAAGTCATTTTTCGTTGGGTTAAAGTAGTGTATCGCATTGACTGATTTGTGAGTGCTGAACCATCCTTGCACCCCTGGAATAAATCCCATTGGATCATGGTGTATGATCCTTTAAATGTACTATTGAATTCAGTTTTCTAACATTTCATGATGATTTTTGCATCTATGATCATCAGGGATATTGGCCTGTAATTTTTTTTTCAGTAGTGTCCTTGTCTGGTTTGGGACTGGAGAAAACCACACCCTGTGTAAGGGGAAGCTGCCATTCCCTGACCCCAGAATGTTGCCATGTGGGATTTTTCAAAAGAAGGCAGAAAGCCAGAGTTTCTGTTAAAATTTCTGGTTAAAAAAATCTGTTGTGGGCCGAACCCAGCCCATCTGTAGACCACATCTGTTCCTCTAACCATCATGTCCAATCTCTCTTCTCTGCTTTATATCATATGTTCATGTTTTTCTCTGGCTCACAAAAAGCTCTGGGTGGTATTTTCCTTTTTCAGATGAGGATATTGAGGCTCTGAACGGTGGTCCCCTCATCGTCACCCAGTTCTGGGTGAGACAGCTGGAGAGCAGCCCCTCCTGTCTTCCTGTGGGTTCCTTGTAGATTTAACCACACAGTGTCATCCTTCCTTCCAATGGGAATGTGGGCAACTCAAGCCAAGAATAATATGCTGAAAGTTCAGCACTGCTTTCAGAAAAAAGCCTGTTTTTTTAAATGAGCAATTAGTACTACTCTAGTTAAAAGTGACTGAAAGAGACCCTGTAGAAGAGAAGCTATAGGCTTCCATATGGGGTAGAATCTTAAGGAAAAGAAAGTTCAAACCCCAGTTTACTACACTTATAGAAATAGCTAAACATGGTAATTACCTTTTCAAGGCCTAATCAAAATGTCACTAGAGGTCTTCAGGTGTAGGAAATTTAGGCCTTTAATTAAAATAACTTCCCTTTTAACTGTACTTGAACAACAATAAAAAGAAAAGAAAATACAAAAAAGTGACCAATGTGACAATAAAATGAAAATTTACTATAATATATATATATATATATAGCAATATTAAGAACATTCTGTAAAGTCATTTTTTATATTTTCCTTTTCTTCTCATAATGGTATACATATTGAGCTCTTTCCCCATAACATTATGTATTCTTTGAAAACATTAAGCTTGGTACAAATTAAAAAGTTAAAGAAATAAAAAATAATAATTTCTTTTCTATAATAGTCTTTGTCATACAGTCTCTTTTGTTTGATATAAGTATAGCAACCCCCATTTCTTTGGTTTCTATCAGAGCATGTCTTTGTTCATTCCTTCACTTTCAGTTCTTCCATCTGAAGCAAGTCTCTTGTAGCATCATGGTTGGGTCTTGTTTTTATATCCATCCAGCTGTCCTATGGCTTTTGATTGGAGAATTCATTCCATTTACATTTAAAGCAATTGTTAATAGCCATGGGCTAAACTATGGCCACTTTGTTCATTGTTTTCTGGCTGCTTGTAAGGCCTTTGTTCCTTTCTTCTCTTCATCTTTTCCTTTGTATGAATAATTTGATGATTTTTCTGTAGTGGTATGCTTAGATTTTTTTCTTTATATTTTGTGTGTCTGCTATAGGTTTTTGCTTATGATTAACATTAGGGTTATATAAAACATCATATATGTATATAACAATCTATTTTAAGCTTATGAATTTAATCTCAAATGCATACTAAATCTCTGTATTTTTGCTCTCCTCCTCCTTTGTGTTTTATATTTTTCAGTAACACAATTTACACATTTTCCTTGTGCTTCCATTAACAAATCATTACCATTGTAATTATTTTTACTAATTTTGTGTTTTAATTTTTATACTAGGTTTATAAATGATTTACCCCTACCATTATTACCACATTAGAGTATTCTGGATTTAACTATATATTTACCTTTACCAGTGAGGTTCATATTTTCGTATGTTTTCCTGTTACTAATTAGTGCCCTTTCAGTTTAACTCAAACAAGTCCCTTGAATATATCTTTAAAGGCTGGTTTAGTGGTGATGAATTCTTTCAGCTTTTGCTTATCTGGAATGTGCTTTTTGGTTGGCAGTTTGTTTCTTTCAGCATTTTGAATATATCATACCACACTCCCAACCTCCAAGTTTCTGCTGAAAAAATTTGTTTAGTTTTATGGGGTTCCCTTGTATGTTAAAAGTTGTTTTTCCCTTGTTGCTTTTAAGATTCTCTCCTTGTCTTAACTTTTGTCATTTTAATTATAATTATTTCTCTTGGTGTGGATCTCTTTCTGTTTGTGTTATTTGGAACTCTCTGGGATTCCTGGATTTGGATGTTTGTTTCCTTCCCTGTGGTACAAAATTGTTCAGCCATTATTTCTTCAAATAAGTTTTCTGCCCCTTTCTCTCTCTCTTTTCTCTTTGTGAAACAACCCTATAATGTGAATTTTGGTCAGCTGGATAAATCCCTAATGCTATCTACACTCTTTTTCATTTTATTTATTTATTTATTTACTTGCTTATTTATTTATTTTGCTGTTGCTGATTGATTTCTCTGCCCTATCTTTGAGTTTGCTCATCCTTTCTTCTGCTTCATATAATCTGCTCTTGAATTCTTCTATTGATTTTTTTTTCAGTTTCATTATTATATTCTTCAGTTCTGTGGTTTCTGTCTGGTACTTTGTAAATATTTTCTATCTTTCTCTGTTGAAATCTGCACTTTGTTCCCAAATTGTTCTCCCAACCTTTGTGGGCATCTTTATAACTATTACTTTGAACTTTTTACTAGGTAAATCACTTATCACTTTATCAGGTAAATAACATATTTACTTGATATGGAGTATGCTTCTGGAGTTTTATCTTGGTGGTGGTGGTTGTTGTTTGGAACATATTCCTTTATTTCTTCATTTTCCTTGAGTCTATGTTTATGCACATTAGATAAAACAACCACTCATCCCAGTCTTGAAAAAGTGGCTTCATGTAGGGATGAATCTTACTGGCCCTAGTTCTTGATTGTCTCTCAAACTTTTGTAATTGTCCAAGCTTGCTTCTTTGTCTTATTGACTCACACTAGTTGAGAATGTTCCAAAACATATCAGTGTCCTAAAGAGAAGAATCACAGTCAAAGCCTAGATGCCAAATGCTTGGGTAGCAGCATGTAGTGTATCAAGTAGACCTTTTTCAGAGAAAGACTGCAAGTTGCGGTTTCTGTCTGTTCTCTCTTCACTGAACTCTAGGGGAATAGCTGGTTAACAACTGGTTCTTTGTTTGCTATAGTCCTGTGAGAATGGAGAACAGAAGCCACACTTAACCACCAGAGGCAAGCAATCAAGGGGTGCATCCTCTGGCCAGCAGCCACAAAACCAGGGCTCTAGATGTGTGCACAAGCTCCTTTCAGAGAGATACTAATGGCCTGTATCAGGGCAGAGAGAGAATGTAAATATGGCTCCGGATGGCCTCCCTGCTCTCAGTGGGGGAAAGCAGTTGCCCCTAGATATGTGCTAAATTAGGAGCCTGACCCACAGGCTTCAACTTTTAAAATATGCAAATAAGCCTCTTTCAGTGAAAGACTGTGAGATGGGCTTTTTTGACTGTTCCCTCTGTGCAGAGCCCTGGGGGGATAGCCGTAGGGAGTTGTTAGAAGCCTGTTAAGAACTATTTGTTATGGTCTGGTGAGTCTCATGGATAAAAGCTCTATTGGCATTTAGAGCTGGGTGTTTTGGGGGCCCATCCCTCAGATGGAAGTTTTAAAAGTTGGAGTGCTAAATATTGGGTCCAAACCCTTCACTCCTCAGAGAGAAGCTAGAAGTTGGGAGTTCCCTTTCAATTGTATGGCACTGTGCCAGGTGTGGGGTTTATGGCAAGAGTGTGTCACACTGACCCACCTAATCTGATGTGGGTTTATTTCATTCACTCAATGTATAAGAAGAGTCACTCAGCTGGTTTCTGGGTTTCCTTTGGAGGGAACTGTTCCGTGTGTAACTGTAGATTCAGTGTGTCTTCGGGAGGAGGTGAATTCAGGAGCCTCATATGTCACCATCTCATACTGGAACCCTCTGCACAGGGTGCTGGTTTCTCAAGGCAGTCCCCCTTGGCCTCTCACTCAGAATCAGCAGAGAAGCTTAGATCTCTCCCACCACTGAGGCATAATCTACCCTTTCAAATAATAAGACAACAGCCATTGTGGAGGGCAGCAAAGGCAGGCAGCACCAGGATTTGCTGGCTCCAACAAGACTGAAAAGAAAGTTTAGGGAAAAAAAAAAAAAACACCAGCCAAGGAATGGCAAGGCTGGAACGACAGAAAATATGCAAAGTAGGTTAGAGACCAGTTTTCCTATTTCTTCACTAATGGGAGAAACTTAAACCACTAAATAGAAGTTCCCTGTAGTCACCTCTGGTCTCTTCTTTCATCACCAAATGGTAACTTCCTGCGGTTTTAAAGTATATAATATATTATTGTTCCCTTATTCACTTTTTTAAATTATAGGGGTTCTTAGTGATTAGTATCTTAATTCTAGGGCCTACATCTTAGTTTGTGTTTCCCTAAGAGCAGAGTCTGAGATAAGGACTTCAGATGACATCCTTATAAACTCTCTACACCCAGGAAATAGGAATGAAGAAGAAGAGTGAGATAGGAGAGGAGGAAGAGCAAATGCAAGGTGCAGTACTGAACTCCATTTTCTCACCTTCATTCCGGGTCTGTGTGCTTCTCAGATTTGCCCTCAGGTACATCTCCTCACTCTTCCAGGCTGCACATAGAAAAGGGACTGGATTGGCAAAAACCAAGTTCACCAGAAAAGGTGCAGAGTGAGCTCACTGCCAGCAGGAATGAGACTAATAATCCCCTGTAGGTGTAAATTAAGCCATAAGTGGTTGAGGGGAGGTACCATGAGCTTCTGGAAACTGCTTTGGTCCATTTCACCTAAACTGTAAGTCGTATTTCAAACAAGTCATTCCTTTGATTAAAGCCATTCTCTTTCAACAAAACATGGCGCACACAAGAAAAATGACAGTGATCTGAATGTGAGCTGCTCCGATGAATTAAGAAATCAGAGGGAGTTCAACAGGTTGGCAAGTTAGGGGATACCTGAGAACAGGGTATTACGAAGGTAAAACACTAAATTAGAGACCCCTGATGGCATGTTTTACCCAGATCTGGTCCCACTTCAGGGCTTTCCAAGGAAACCACCAGGGTGCTCCCCTCAAAAACCTCTCAAGTCACTAAGTCCATGGCCACTGAAAAGTTCATTGTGGCCTTGGGGGCCAATTATTTTGTTCCATGGTCTGGCTCCCTGCCTAGTGATGGCTCCTTTCCCCAGGGTGGGGGTGGGGGGCAGTTTCTATGTGTCCATCATCCTTCTGGCCCTGAAACACAAATATCTAAGGAAATCAACATTGGTCTCGCACCATAAAACTTGTATAAAACAGAGCCCACAATGGGCACTGCAGTATTTTGGATAGATTTCAAGAACAATTCGTGTTCTACAGTTAAGTGGCTGAAGGGATTCCTGATGCAGAATCGCAAGCTTGGAGGAGACAGAGCACCAGTGTCTTGAGTCCCAGTCCCCGGAGCAAGGTTCTGTATGGTTCCCTGATTACCACCAGGTACTTTCCCACAGCAGAGTGCTTCAGAGGTTTTGCTAATGCTCAAAGTTTCTATAGCTTAATGCATAAACCAATGGGGCCTGGAAGAGTACATAGACACAATTTCTGCTCACGTAAACTAGGTTGTATCATGGTGTATGGACTAACTCAGGAGTCCTAGGATCCAGAACTGGTCCAGCTCTCAGAACTGAGGTGCCCTGGGCAAGTTATTCATTTATGTGCTCCAGATGAGGTTGCCAACGATAGAATGTAGCCCCATAAGTCACTGATTACTGAGTGGAATTACACAAAAACTTTTAAATGAGTATAAACCACTATTTTAGTAAGTTTTAGCATAATATTCTATAACCAGGGAACAAAGGAATTGCAACCTAAGGCGATTAAGTATGTGTGTCTAATAAATAAAAGTATATTTAATACATACTTAAAACCACTGTTTTATAAGTATAAAGCACTACTGAGTAAGCTTTTTCCTTGAATATTTTATCTTATAAGCAAATTACCAAAGGTCACTGGGTTTATATCTTAGAACCAAAGTTGCTATAGTAATACTGACTTAGGTTATTTTCTTTCTGTGGCATGTAGTATCTCTTATCTCATAAAAGCCCCTCCACCACTGACCCCCCCCCCCCCCACACACACACATACCATTTCCATTAGAGTAGAACCCAAATCAATATGTATAGCCAAGAACCATCGTGGTTTTGGCAAGATATGCAGGTGGGATTGAGGTGCCACTGTCAGAAAGTTCCCTCCCAAGGCAGCTGAAAGAGAGCAGGTGTCTTACCCAGGAAACACAGATCCAAGACAATAGGGACCATTTGTGTTTTGCTCACCTGTTGCCAGCATATGTTTGGAGCATAATCTGTTTGTTTAGTGAGGGAGGGAAGATCAACAAAGCCATAAGCATCGGTGCTTTGAAATGCGGTTCTTATAATTTCCATACTCACAGAACCAGTCTTTTCTCTGGCTTCCCTGGTTTTGATTCTTACCTGATTCTTACCTGAGACTATACCTGTTGGTCCAACTCTTGCCTCTTCTCTGGCCAGTCTTCACTCTGTGTCAGCCTTTCAGGATCTCATCCTTTTCTTGGGGTCCTCTTTCTGCTAATTAGCCTCTGACAGGGTCACTTAGCTTAGCCTGGCTACTCTCTTCCCACAAAATATCTTTACCCACAATTGTAGATCTCAGTCGGTTGTCCTTCTGAGACTAATTGAGGCAGTCACTGCTGATTGTTTCTTCCCAGAAAGCCCACTTGTGGCTTTATCTAGCCCAGTTGCCTCAGGGCTCAGTAAACTCTGCTATGTATTTAGACAACACTGCCATCTCCTGGTCAAAGCATTGAACTTGCCCCAGCAGTTCGTCTTGGACTTAATGGTGTGCACTACTCATCTACACTGCCAGCTGGGATGAGAGAGATGATCCTGTCCCCCTCCCCCTCCCCTTTTTATAAGGCTTACGAGTTAGAGTGTTAACTGCTAGTGCTGCTCTGTGGACCCATCTAAAGTCCACACCTCCCTCAGATGCATCTTCTCTATCCAGGTATGTCAGCTCTGGAACCTGGACCTCATTATTTTGTCTTCAAACTCAGCTGGTCAAATGAGTCATTTGAAGGGGATCTTTAAAAGTTACTGTCTTTATTTTGAATACTTATCTTCATACTTATCTTCACACGAACTTCTAAGCAGTTTCTCCTAGTAGCTTTTGGAGTTATATTTCTGAAGGATGATTTCACATAAAAATAAAACAGAATCTTGTTGAGTTGCTAATCTGTTTGGTAGATGAACTCCTGCAGGCATTAGGAGCTTACTTTCCAAAAGAGAAACTGGCCAAGTGATGTATTCAATAGCTGTATCAAAGCTAAGGGGCTGAGACCAAATGTGCCAATTACCCATTCTAGTTCTAATCCAGCTGACTCTGCAGATACCCCCTCCCATTCCTCATTCCCAGACTCTGCTGGCACGTAGGATCCCCCTGGTGGAGCCAGATCTTGCCTGCAACTTTTGCCAGGATTGAAGTAATTGCCAGCTTTGCTTTAGGAATTTCCTTGGGATCACAAGAGGGAAAGATCTCTGGACAAAAATATGTGGATACCAGAGAGCAAGGACAGTCCCTGAAACCAAACAGGCCTTCCAGAACTTAAAGTAACTGCCAGAGGTAGGTTTCTAGAAGTGGGTGAAAATAACCCATAGCCTAAAAGTCTAAATGCACAGGAACTTCTTCAGCCTATACCTAAGTATTCAGTAAACTTGAGATATTAACAATTCTAGCTTTGGCTACTGAACCTCCAAGGCACACAAAAGAGATGGAAGTTTATCTGGATCAGAGGTCTTGGGTCATCTGTTTAATTATCATAATGTTGAGCATTGACTTTACCTCATACTCATTTGGGTTTTTAAGTATTGGATAAACTTTGAACGAGCAAAACAATTCTTCTCTACACCCTTACCAAAGGTTAATTTCAAATGTCTGCTGCCTCTTTCCAAAAGACTAATCGAAAGAAGTGATGTTTATGAAAAATTGATTGAAGATCATGCAGCACATCCAATTCTTGTTATTCCACATTCCATCCTCAGCTTGAACAGGACCTTTGTGTCCTGGGACAATATTTTCTCGGCCTCACACATAATCACGTTCACTGTGTTACATTTTGGTTTTGCACCTCCCACTTTCATGAGGGGATGCTGGGATAACACTGGCTCATGAACCCACCATTCTCTCTGCTCCGGGGACATGGATGACACTGCCCACTGCATCCCTCTGCTCTTGCTCTAGAAAATCCCTCGTGAAAATGTTCTGACGAAGTTGCCTGCTAGAAAAGGCTGGGCAACCCTTGAGTAAAAGGCATAATTTTTCCTCATTCGATAAGAGTATAGTAACTGCCTCTTCTGGTACTTTGCCTGTCAGGAACCGAGAGCCTTATTTAAATAAGGTCAGAGAGGAGACGACTCATCTGGCACTGATGGAGTTGTTTCCTACCTGGGGGCTTGACCCGAGACCCCAGATGATAAAACACCGTGCTCTGGGCTGCCCAGATCTCAGTCCATGGGGCTTCTGAACTGAGTGGCCAGACCAAAGTGTTTTTTGGGTGTTTTTTTGTTTGTTTGTTTGTTTTTGTTTTGTTCTTATTTTTGTTTTTGGATGAAGCTTTCTCTGCCAGCCCACGAAATTACTGAACTTGAGGCTGATACAAGGTAATCCATTGAGGTGCCCAGCTTATAGCCATTGTTACACTTTCTTTAAAGGCCATGTTATTGAAGTTATTTGACAGGCATTTTTGTCAAAACGGGTAGAGGAGGGGACACTGACCGCTAGCTATTTGTGAAGGTTCCATCTCACATGTGCCCTGGAATGACTGCCTCAGACTTTTTTACTCTGACCCCTTCACCTGGCCATTGCAAATTGCTTCCTTCTGTTACTGTTCCTGATAAGCTCATCGCCATCACTCTGCTGAACAGAGCCCTCTCAGAGGGTGACCCCTGTTGATGTCCCACCTCAAATTCAGGAAGGCAAGACTGATAACTACATGTCCAAATGTCAGTCCTGCCACTCAGTAGCAGGGACAGATCTCAGACCCACGCACCCCCTTGGATCTGCAGGCCCATCTTCCTAGAGGATCCTAGCTGCTCAGGAAGGGGTGGCTCTACGATGCCACTGTTGCCACCAAGGGGAGGTTAGTTGTCACCTGTCACTCATGTCTTTCTCCACATACAACTCACCCCACCAGCAAAAGTACTCCACCCTCCTCACTCTCCTTGGCCCCAAAACACATCTCATTTCTTACCTCAGCAGTAATGTGGAAATAAATGCCTTTCCCTGATCCCCAGGGCCCATGGTGTGGTTCTTTGGTGTTAGTGGTACGATGGTACGTTTTCTTAAACCTAGGTCATTCCACACTGGCTCTGGTCAGGCTGTTGTCCTGGAAAGGATCTTCTAGAGCTGGATCAGGATTTTAACAAAACAGAACCTGTAGTAGATAAAGATGTTCAAATGGAAATCTAAGCTAATACTTCCTACAGTAAGTCTATCATAGTTTCAAAATAGTATGATTTTAAAGCGATGATTGTACCAACTCTGATTTACAGCTTTGGTTTTGATCATAATCTCTAAATTAGTATGTTGACAGAGTCCAGAATCGTAATGCAAGAATGAACAGCATCAATCTTCTTTATCTTCATGGTCATGACTGCCATGACCCCCTCCCCCGCCACCTACCCACAGACCCAAGGGTATTCTTCCAAAGCTGTCCCATGTCTATACAAGTTATTACGGATATTAAAATCCTATGTATCTATGATGAAATTTATGGATTTCCTGAATTAAGGTCTAGCTGTAATATCTTGCAATGAGATATTTCCTTAGCAGGAATAAATGACATAATTATTGGCAACCACTGTGTACAATCATACAAATACTGTATTATTTATGAGTTAGTTGTGGTAGCACCAACATTTCAGATATCCCTTGCCTTTTATAGAAATCTTCCTGAGTTCGTGTTTTGGCATGCATTTCCCAGAAAATTAAAATCATCTTTAACTGACTCTCAGGGCTTGATGATTAAATAAACAATAATTATAAAATACACTTGATTAATAGAGGTCATCCAAAAGAGAAAGCTGCACAAATTTAATTTATCTGGAATCACTTTAATGTCTCAAGTTATGTAATATAAAACAACAACCTGGGATGTAATTTTTATCAACATTTTGTTATGGCTTGATTAAATCCAAATAAGGCACTAGATTTCAAGAAATGCCAATTGATGATTAAAAGCAACCCCCACTGTCTGATGAATTCCACAGCCAAGTTAATTGCTCTAGAAATATATGGGCGTGGAATTGTAATTCCCCCAAAGCCAAGTCAATAGTGGAGCTGTCATCTTGTCCCCACCATCTGGGACAAGTAAGCCTTGGTCTTCCTCACACTGGTCCCTCAGGCAGGACAAGCAAGGAAGTAAAGTGGCTGAAGGTTTTTGTTGGCCTTGCTGAGCTTTCCTCGGCACTGCACTCAGTCTGAGAAGATTCCAGGCAAGCTTACTTCCCACAGAAGGTTAGACGAGCACTGCAGCCTGGTGGTGCTCTCAGCCTCACTCGGCTCCCTCTCCGTGCCATCTTCTCAAATACATTCCTCGCATGTTTAATCCTGTCTATCTCAGCATCTGCTTCTCATGCGATTCCAGGAATGTTCTGAGAAAAAAAAAAACAATAGAGGGAATTTAGAATGGGCCCACCTGCTGCCCATTCTCAATCTAGTGGGCAAAGAAAACCCTATCCTGGAAAATGGGGCACACATAGAATCTGTCACAAGATGCTGGCTTACTATGTAAAGACTTCACCAACAGAAGCCTGAAAACGCCCTGGTGGAGGGGAATGCTGCGAGTGCAGTGATGCGGGCTTTTGGAAAACACAGAGGGAGAAAGCCTACAAAGACTGCAGAGTGGATTACTCACTGCAGAGCTGTACCACGCCACGCAGCGGGGACAGAGAGACTGAGGACCAGTAATAAGCAGTCTGGGTAAATGTGAGTCACACGGAGTCTGTGACAGCTTACAAAGAGGCCTGGATCTCCTGCAGTGGAAGGGCAGACACAGCTGAGCAACAGTCTGCATTCCTCAGTTGTTAAAAGTCACAGAGCTCCAGAGATGCTGGAATGCTCAGCCAAGGTATTTTCACATGCAAAAGTCAAGGCCTAGTGGATAAAACCTGGGACCTTAAAACATGGGATCTGAACATCTTGATGGATGCCTGCGAAGATGTTAACTCTGCAAAAACCTCTGGGTTTGCAGAGGTCGTCCACCTTCCCTGGAAAGAGCAGGCATTTTCCCTGTGGTGGAAGATGCTGCCAGGGCCTCTCCTCCACAAGACAGCAGCTGCTCCCAGCCCCACCCCGGCACTACCTCCCGCTTCCTCTCCTGGTTTCTAGGCTGGTAACTGGAGTTACATCTCAGCATAACCTGCTGGATGTTCTAGGCCTGGCAAGGGAGAGAGGAACAATATACCTGTTGCAAGAATTAGCTAACATGTACCACCAGAAGTTAGGGGAGTGCCCTTGCGTTTGGATTCTGAGGATGCTGAATCAAGGGGGGCTAAAATATAAGCCTGGAAAACCAAGAATTCATTGATTCCAAGGCACTTTCTTGAGACACTGAGTTTAATATACTGGCAAAGACCTTGGAGGATGGAACAAACTTGCTGCTAAGATTAAAACCCTATAAGAGGTGATGCCAGAGGGGAGGGGTTTGTCGGGGG